ATCTTTATTGTCGGCTCGTGATTCTAAGGTAAACTTCCACAAGACGACTTTTAAGAATTCAATGCTGTTTTCCTTACATTTCGTTTGCAGAGAGAATCAGCCATTAATACCCATTTTTCACACGCCCTGGTTAACTCTGCCATATACTTCGCCGTTTAGTCATGGAGCGGATGTCAATTTAAATTAAATGGACATCGGAATATGGTCCGCGCGTTGCAGTCTCGAGGCGCGTCACGTTATCTGCAGCGTCGTGACGTTTACCGGAATGCCTACAGTTCAGGGTTAAGCAGATAATGTGCTTACAGCTGTTTACGGTACCATTTAGTAGAAAAATCACTCTTCTATGCATTGATGTGGTAAATATAGTCATTAGTCACCTATGGAAGAAGTATAACACGTCATTGATTTTACTACTTAAACCGTGACTGCCTTACTCTACTTTCTTCAAGGTCCTTAGACATTTTGTTCATTACGGAAAGTATTGAAATCGGTCGCTAATAACAATTCAGCTTCACCTTGTTTGAATTTTCCACTTAAGGAAAATATCAACATCTCACACTGTTAAAAATGGGCAGCTTCATATTTGTTTTTAAATTATTAGTGTTATTAAATTATTAAAATCCCTCTGCAGAAAGGTTCTGCACGTTAACTTAGTGCGTCAACTGGTAATATCCTGGGTTTCAATACCACCTGTACAGTTTCAACATCATTGTAGGACTGATACATAATTTGTTGTAAGGTTATACAGTAATTAAAATTAAACGTATTTTACATTCTCCTGCAGTGTTTTATGCCGAGGGTAGCAGTTTCAAGGCTGGACTGTGTGCTTATAAAGAGTGCAGCCACTCTGCACAGTTTGTTCAGCCTGTTTGGGACTTGTATTCTTTTGCATTTTTCCCTCTGTCTGGGGCATCCCAGTCCAAACGTTTGCAGTTAACACATGTGTACACAACACAAGCCTGGCACACAGCATCTTAAGGTTCTTTCTAATCTGAGTGATTTTAGATTAATCTACTTTTCACATTTTCTGTGCTAAACGCTGAGCGTTTAACTACGACATAAGACTGTCCTTGAGTTTCCTGCATGGTGAAAAGCCAGACCTGACTGTGATTGTGACTGATAACTTTTGAGCCCCCTGTCCGTCATTGGTTTCTCAGCAACCCAAGAGAATTGTAGCAAGACTGAACCAAGTTAGTGTGCAAGGATTTATCACAAAAAGACTCATTTCTGCCATATGTGCTTCCTGCATTTAGTGCAGTAGTGCATTATTTTGTTCTGTGTTATATGTTAGAAAAAATCACAATTTTGTAAAAAAAAAAAAAAAAAAAAAAGGAGGGGGGGAGATGAATTAATTAGTTATCTTTAATATTTTTGTGATGTCCTGTAAAATTAACAAGAGTTTTGTTGCTGATTATATACGTTCTGCGAACCTAACCATACCTGCCATTCTACTTAATGTATACTACCCCCCCCAAATGAGCCTTTATTCGAGCATCCCCCTGTGCTCTGGCTTGTGCCTAATAAGCTTCAGGCTCCTCTGTGACCCTGTACTGGAGGAACATTTGCAAGATGGATGGTTTCATTTTGAGTGCATTTGTTAAAACTTGTAAAAAGAGAAAATACTAAACTACTTCACAGCTTTTTGCTTCCTTGGTTCTAAAATTAGGGAACACATTTTATAGTATAGCGGGGGAAGACCTCGATCCTAATGCGGAGGACGTTCTTTGTTGGTACTGTTGACATCTTGCAGGGAAATGGCCATTGAGGGATTTAAGTAATGGAGAGCAAAGCAGCGCACCACAACCCATCCAGAATACATCAGGGTTTCATGAGTCCAGTGACCAATCAGAGCTCACGCTTACGGGGCTTAGCCAATCATCCCTCTACTGGACCGTTCCTATAAAGACAGCCGACCGCCCTCCGGGCAGCATAAGAAAATGTTTTCCCGCACAAGGTGCTCAACAACAAGCAGAACACATAGAGTTTAACGCCGTGCTGTACAGCCTCTGCAGGTCAGGAATGCAGTTCCGTCACTATGTTTCAATATGTCAGCTAACTTTTTTTGCAGTTATGTCGAAGCACACAAGTCGATCAGTGGTGGGCACATTTCTGCGAAGTAGGAGACAAAAATATGGCCACGATCGTAGCCTTGCCTTGCCTGTCTTTGCCGATTATAGAGCTGCGGACGCGAAGTCCGTTTAACAAGCCGTCAAACGTTAAATGACACGCTTACGGTTCATAAAGCACAGCGAATGGATCCAGAGGAACGCGACATATCACACCCTCCAGGTATGCAGATGATGGGCAGGCAAAATAAATAAAACAAACGGGAATTTTTCGGCTGAAAGTTTTTTTTTTTTTTTTTTTTTAATTCAAGCACTTTAGAGTGGAATAATATCTGAAGTGTTTTTTTTTTATTATGCCTTAATTTTGCTTTTATTCACACTTTATATAACACGCAGTGTATTTAAATACTGCAAGCAGAGTTAAACTTAACATATAAAACCTAGTAAATCAAATGAAGAAAGAGGTTTTTCATTATAACTGGCAACAGTGGAACCTGCTTCTTTGAAGGTTGTAATACGTCTAGAACAGGGGAGATTCTTGCTATTTCTTGCTAAGATCAGGGGCTAAGTCAAGTTTACCTGGGGCTTGACTTTTTGTTGAAGAAAGGAAGATTGGCATCAGGGCTAAAATACTTGGGGCTAAGCTTAAAATGCCCGGTGCTATACAGGTAGCTCTGAGTGATCGGACCTAACGACGCCCATGAGTCTAGAACACATCTCCAAATGGATCTTTTCTTGTTATAAAACTGCATTAGAAATGTTGAATGTCTTGCCTTGGTTAAACAAAAGGTATGTTAATGGACCTGGATGTTGATATCCTTTTTTTACACTCATCTTTATTACCAAATAGGTAAGTTTGGCACAGTTCTTATGCTTAAGACTCCAAATAAGACGATCTCGCACCACTAATAAGGAAACGCTGTCAACATTGCTTGCAATTGGATTAATCATTCACTGCCTCCTCTCCATGTGGCTCTCTCGAGACCCCTATGCCCTAAACATCTCCTCCTCTTCTCCCTCTTGCTATCACGAAAAAAAAACGTGACATCACCCCACGATCCGTCAACAAGGGCTTCAAGGCGATTCCACCCAGATTGTAAGCACATGTAGGCTATTTGAATAGAGATCTGTCTACGGAGAAATGTTTGTTCCTTTATGGTTGACAGTATACTGACAGTGTAGCTAACATCGCGCAGACCTTCCTACCCAGACAAAGGAGAGAAAAAAGCCTGCGTTTTGTTTCTGAAAGCGTTTCATGAAATTTCTGGCCAATAAACAATAACTGGGGGGACAATTTAAATCTTTATTATTACTTAAACAAACTATTTTCTAAATAGATGGGATTTGATGATTAATAAACCGGGCAATGAAGTTAGTTTAAGAAAATGTCCGAATCTGGACCTTTTAAAGGTATGAGATTTACGTTGCTTTTAGGAAGCGGCAAGCAGTTAGGCAGGAATTTTATGTTAATGGGATTATGGCTCCACCTTCTGGTTATTTAGCGCAAGTTTCAGAACATAATTTTTTAATAATTCAGAGAGCCTATGGTATTTGAAAGAGGTGAACCTCAAACACATTATACCAATGTCATTCAGATGCTTATTAATTTTCTTAGCATATTTTGCAAGAAGTTTCTTGATGCAGTGTGTGTCAAAAGTTTCTTGACAGTCCGGTAGATTATTTTAAAATGAAAATTGAAATTTGTATGAAAAAAGATGTTAACTTTCAGTTTACATTTTAAGGTGTTCATGTTTGCATTAGGTAAATACTAAATAGTGTAGGAATTTTCGTCCTTTTAATGCATGAACACCCCAATTCCAGAGCCCAAACCTGTCCTTGGGATCCCCAAGACAATCCACACTTTTGCTCCCTACTGGGAGCTGGGAAGGAGCAAAAATGTGGATTGTCTGGGGGTCCCCAAGTAGAACCAAAAGTAATTGAACAATTAGTTTGGTTTATTCCACAGGTATGTTGTGTTTCATTATTACTTATAGAGTAAAGAACTAGCCAAGATCTTGAGAAGATTCTAGGTCCAGCATTTGCAGTTGGAGTTTTTTTGTCTCATCACAAGGAGCAAAGAAGTGACAGTACCAATGCAGCAAGCCACCATGCAACTGAAGGATCAGAAGAAAGTGGTCAGAGACTAATCAAAATATTATAGTATGCTAAATTCAACTGTTATTTGGTACATTGTTAAGAAAAAGTGTTGTGATGACATGGGCACTCTCAAATGATCTGTTAGGCAAGTATAGTGAATGAAAGAATAGATGTGTCAAATACTACCATCAAGAAAAGATTATACCATCAACTGATAGAGTTAACCACAACATGCAAAATCCTTGTTAGCCTTGAGAATAGAAAAAAAGAGATTTGCATACATTAAAAAGTCTTGAATGCCAAAGCACAAAAACATCTTGTCTACGCACATCAAAGTGATTGCAACCAAAACTCATTGGACAAAACTTCACTCAGCAGGACAATGACCAAAAAGTGGAATTTTCTGTCTAGCAATCAACTGACCTCAGTCCAATTGAGAATAAATTTCATATTGCAAGACCGGGCTGAGATAAAAAAAAAAAAACAACCTTTAAAACGGTGGCAGTTCAGGGATGGCAAAGTATCACCATGGGTGATACCAAGCGTCTGGTGACCTCTACAGGTCATAAACTCCTGGACGTCATTGGCTGCTAAGGATTTGCAACCAATTAAATATAATAACTTAATTTCAGCTCATGTTAATTTATCCAAATACAGCCCCTTAAACTTTATAGTCACACTGTATAATCAACACTATAGATATCAACTGCTGAGAATGCTAAACGCTTAAACTAAAATTGAAACAAATAGACTGTTTTCAAGTTTGTCAAAATGATTTTGTTAAAATCTCCCTTTATGCAGGAAGCATATAAATTATACATTAACTTAAAACAATAATAATCTTAGATTTGTTTAATGATTAACACATGTTTATAATCGAAAAGCATATTTCTATACACGGTAAAGTTATAATATTGCTGGGGAACAGTGACCTCTAGTGTTCATTTTAGGACTTTCACTAGTGTGCAGCAATTAAGTCGAATTGATGGTAGGTATTTGTGGGTCGTTTAACAAAAGGTTTCTCCGATGTTAGTTGCTCTGTTTACTGATTGAATGGAGATGTTATGTCATCAATATATTGCATCTTTTTTCACCTTGAATTTTAACCAGGAGCAATGTGGCTTGAAGGCCATGGTGGTTCAGGAAGATTAAAAAAAAAATGCATTTCCAAAAAAACATGTTGCTCAGCTGTCATTGGTTTTACTAACCCAGTCCTGAGTCACACTTTAGAAAATATGCAGATCGACCAAATGATGCATTGATTGTGGCATCGCTGATGACGCTGACTCCCGAGATTTCAGCATACTAGAGTAACACTTAATATGCTTCTTGACAGTTTGTCTCCATTAAAATCCGAAAGGCCAGGTAAAAGCTTTTTACTCCTCTGAGTAATTCTCTGGGGGAAGCAGAGGATTTCAGTGGCAGACCCGAGGACAAGCTAGTGCAGCTTAGCTCACCGTGCTAATTCCATTGTGGCAGACATCAGATATCGGTGTGACAGGCAGAAAAACCCTTGTTAGCTGAAAACTGAACTGAATTGGTGCCATTTTGTGTTAATCGAGTACTCTCACTATTATTAATACAGTTCATGTATAGTAAAATTAATTGTAATTTAATAGTAACTTTAACATTGTTAAAACAACCTTTATGGAGTGCCAAGTGGTATCTTTTTGTGCATCTTCAGCAAAAGAGAAACATCAGGTTCGTTCTGTAGATACACACCTTTGTCAGGATGTTTTAATTACACCATAGTTACTGTCTTCTGAGGCATTTTGGGTAAAAGACACAAAAGGCTCAGATTGCTATGGTTTGCTTTGAAACGTAAGGGCAGTCAGCAGTACTTACTCAGCGTGAATCTCTCTCATCAATGACACCTGTTTGCCAGGCAATGGCAACACAGTAACCTTAAGAAGGCATTAACCACAGAATAAAAACACACTGACACGGACTGTCCAATGGGGGAAGACAAAAGATGTTTTCTGGGCTGCATATGATACACTGGGAATGCAAGGGAAGATGTGATTGGTACATGGGTCAGCAATGCAATGCCATCTGTTCTACTTTGTATACACTCTAACCGTGTGATTGGTGGTGGAGCTTGTTGGTTCTGGCTTGGACCAGTATAACTCAACCCAATCACCAGGAGGGTGGGAGTGCTTCTAGGGGATGGGGGGGGGCGTCCTTTGGAGTCAGTGTGACTGTAGATAGTGGTCGTTTCTAAATACCAAGAAGAACGCTAAGATCATACTTGGGGTCTCGGCAAGAACGGTCTTGCTAACTTGCCTTTGAAGAATGAACTTGGGGCACAATGAATCTTGGGATTGGTCTCATTCGGCAAGGATGCAACCAATGTATCCTTTATATTTGGGGCAGGGCAGGAATGACATCAGGGGATTTTTACCGTCCTCTGTACTTCCGATCTTAGTATTGGAACTGGTCTACGGCAGCGGGAGATGATGCAAAACGGGTACATGAGAACACAAGTACGGCCAAGTACACATATTGAGAAACACTTAGTGACACCAGGATGTGATGGATGCAAAGCTTATGTTATACGGTCCCTCAGGAAGCTTTAGTTGTTCCTCAGGAGCCAGTTTGGGGTGGCGCCCCCGGTCTGGCTGAAGTAGGACCACCACCACGGCTTCTCAGGGCCCTCATCTCCACCCTGGTGCAGCTCCGACATGGTGTAGCGCTCGAACTGGTTGTACGGGTCGAAGCGGTCGTAGGTGTCCGTTAGTGGGATGTGGAGGTCCTCCATGCCCGGCTCCAGGACCACGGGCTTCAGCTGGAAGTCGACGCGGCCGGCCTGCTGCATGCGTGTGGGCAGGAACACCTTCTTGGTGGCCCTGGTGTAGCCGGGGGCCTGGGCCGTCACGATATGCACGCCGGGGGCTAGCAGACGCCAGTAGTCACCTTCCTCAGCTGGGTGCAAGCAAAACAACACAAGGTCCTGCTCACTTCAGGAGTAACCAAGGCAGCAATAACCTGACATTCAGAAGCGATTCCGCATGAGTTTGAAGTTTATTGACTCAGTTTAACTTATTGTAAGTGAATTACTTCTTTCTGTCTGGCCGTACACACACTATTCACATTTATTATACATGCTATGACATATATATATATATATATATATATATATGTGTGTGTATATATATATATATATATATATATATATATATATATATATATATATATATATACACACACACACAAACACACACAGAGTCGTGTAATCATATCTTTATGGGGACCGCTCATTCATTTCTATGTGAAAAATGCTAACACTAACTATGACAACCTTAACCCCTACCCAGCCCTAACCATAACCATAAGTAACCAAACAAAATACAAGAGCTTTTGCATTTTTAGTTTTTTCATTGCAGTCGTGGATTTTTATAAAATAGAGTTTTCTCATATGGGGACCAGGAAACTGGTCCCCATAAGGTAAAAAAAAAAAAAAAAACGGGTATCCATCACGTTGTGGGGACATTTGGTCCCCACAAAGTAAGGTATACCTGGACCACAGTGTTACAGTGTTCTTCTAGCCACCCAGCAAGGCATCAGTCACTTTTTGGAGACAAGAATAAATTCTTGTTAGTTTTTATTGTGTTATTCTTAATTTGCATCTATTCTAATGTTAAATTGTGTTTTTTTTTGTTCTGAGCCAACACTTACTACCCAGATAAATAAGTTTAAAGATTTCCTGTGACTGTCTTAGACTTTTGCACAGTACTGTATATTTGATATTATATGTATATTTGATGTAATGTATTATTTATCATGTATTTTAGTGTACATTGTGCTTTATGTAAATCTGTAAATTCATTTCCCATGTCCATGAATAAGTGTGAGAGCACTGACAAAGTAAATTATGCTGACAATAATTATCTATCATAGACTGAATTAAACCTGGGGGCCAACTTTCCGCTGTGCCTGGGAAAGAGCCTGTTAGCCACAAGCAGCCCTCAAAGACGATGCTCTGTTTTCAGAAACCAGGGCATCTTGGCACAGGTTGAGTCTGAGGGAACACAGAGCTTGTCGTGTTCGGTGGAGAGTGCGGCCTTCTCTTCCAAACACCCACGAAATTGTGGATTCAGCACAGTCACTGTCGGCTCCTACCTGTGGTGATGTCGCGTCTGATTCCTCTCACCGACACTCTGGCTCCTTTGATCCCTTTACCCTTTTGGTCTTTAACTATCCCTTTTATCCCGCGGTGCACCTGTGAAATGCAGACAGTTACACACAGTGGGATCCCTTAGTTGCCTTCAGATACAAATGCAGTCACCAAAAAAGGACTATAAAACTCTTAAAGGTGAGTCAAGTTCTCTAGAAGCAGTAAGCTTCAGATGGATCATGCCTGCCGCATCTATGAAGCACAACGGGACTCCATATTCACTGAGATGTGACTGAAGTAACGGACCATTCTACTCCATGGAGCTCAGGACAGTGAACTCACCGACTCCATGAAGCTCAGAAGAGCTTCCTTATTCCGCTTCCACTCTGTGTAGAGCTCTTCCTCAGCTGGGAACTTATCGCAGCCCAGCTCCACAGTGATCTCCAAGCAGTTTGTATGAAGGTAGTTAAAGTCAGACATTCCTGAGGAACGGTGACATTTAACAGTTAAAGAAAACACAGAGATGACAAGTTTGAAGCCTAGAGGTCTTCGCCGCCCCACAGTCATGGACTAAAGTTGCTCACCTCCTGCAAAGCTGTACCACTGGGCACCATTAACGATGCCCCCGTTGTTGGCAAAGGTACCCCCACACCTCTCAGTGTTTTTATCGGCCATGTCAGCATGGGCATCAGCGTAAGTTCTCGCCAACTGCTTGAAGACCTGCAGGGAAACAACCGTGCAAACCAATAAATTAAGTTCCGGAACCACAGCATCTTTGCCGAAGTTCTTCAAGAGAATGTCCACTTGTGATTGACCCATTTTATGACACATCCCTCACTTAGGTCACCTGCTCATCTGGGGTTGGTGAAAACATCTTTTCCTCCAAAGGGTGTTTAGAGAAGTCGAATGGATAGGAGGCAAGCAGGTCCCCACTGTGGAAACTGGCTGAGATCACAAAGGGGACGGTCCTGATCCACTTCATCACTGCATATGTCTCAGGCGCCACCTGGGATGTGCAGCATAAACACAGAAGGTAATGGGATATTAACGAGGTGGGAACACTGCACAGTGAATGTCAACCAGTGTTGTTCACAACCAGCTACTGGGAAGTATATCCTGCTTGCTCAAGATATGCAGGGTCACAATACATAAACAGAGATCCCAGTCCATACCTTACCAAACCAGTAGGAATCTGGAATGGGAATGTGATCACTGCGATATCGCCGGTTTCTCCGGCGACTATAGACGATGGATGTCAGCTGAGGGAAGTTCCGATTTAGATCGATGTTCTGTGCGTTGGTTCGGCCACTGGTCCATGCGTCGTACCTCGGGCCCTTTGGGTCACATGGGGGGAGGTACAAAGGTTTACTGTTTTTGGTGGCGGGGAGCAGGGAGTGGCTGTGATATAGATGAAGGTATGTCGAGCACAGAAGGAGATCCACTGATACCAATAAAGAGATGTTCCAGAATGATCTCCAACACCAGAAAAATGCCCTAGGGGTACCTTTGTTGGTCAAGTAGTTTAGTTAACACTGATCATCTTCTATGTCTAGATCTTCCTTTATTGTGCATTTTGGAGGAAGCGTTCCTTAATTACACATACAGCAGACCAACATGGTTCAGACATCTTGCTCCAACACGCTCACGGAAATGGACTTCCCCTTTTTTCATTCCCCTTATACTGTATTCACTCTAGCTGCCAGGATGTGTTTATGCATCGCAGATTCCTGAAGGATTTTTTTTTTCCCCCTCCCACTGCCAATTTTGGGTAGTCGGGCATTTTCCAAGCACATGCAATGACTTGCTGTTGGTCAGTCTGATTTTCAGTTTTAGGACACTCAATTTATTGTTCTCAAATGCATTCCAAATAACATTTTAGAATCCAATGTGATTTGTTTTGTTTTGTTGGCTTTACAAAATCTGAATATATGAGGTAGGATCTATCACATACCATGCACACCTGCAGCTGTAGAGTTACTGTTACTTATGCTCCAACTGTCACACTTTCCTCAAGGAAATGTGTCCAGTCATGTGCTTTGTACGATTTAAATGGATTCTTCAGCTCACTGGGGGTTTTGCGTGTTGTTTGTTCTTGCATTTGAATAAATATGGAATCATTTCAAACTGTGCTTTTCTAATGCCAACATCTGAAATGGATGCTCTGGGTCTGAGGGTTTAATAACAGTGTTTAAATTGTTGCTCTCAGGCTACATATAAGCCGTGTTTAGTTTTTGGTTTTATGTTAATTTGTAACCGCAGTGTCCTTTCACACACCAGACACCTGTTATCTATTTTCCGTCATTGAGCAACAGCTGCTTCAGTGCTGTGAGGAAGCTGAAGACTCACAGGAATGGTGGTTAGTCATATGACAAGGCCAGCAGCCTTCCCACTGCCAGATGTCCTAGCGGAACGGCACTCTTCATCTTAAGCTCCGTGAATGTTTAGTATCAGAGGTGGATAGTTCAGGTCCAGAAAGTAAAAATCTGGACCAAGATTTTGTTTAAACCAACCAGAATACTCTGCGATTGTGACTCTTTATACTCAACTGGTTGGATAAAACAAAATCTTGTTCTGAACTATCTTGACTGAACTATTCAGTCTATACAGACTTATCCTTTAACTTATTTTTTTGGTCGTACAGGTAGATTCTAAGTTAATATTGAATTTTTTTGGTTAAGCAGTTTATCTTTCAGTTACTTGACCAATGCTCGACTCGGGTATTAGATCTGCAAATAACTTGTTCTCCACCGGATGGTGCCGTACGCTTGAAGTAAGCGAGGACACAATCTGGAAATGGGTGACCAGGCACTGCTAGGGAGGAGCCAGGGCAGATTTATGAAAAATGAGTATTTACTTCCTGATTTTCTGGATCATTGCTATCCTCTACGTCTGCGGCAGCCAGTTCATAGCCATCAGGGTTCATGGAGGGCAGGATGTGGATGCGGGTGGTGTTGATGAGCGTCTGGATTCGCTCGTTGCCCAGCAGATACTCAGAACACAGGTACTGAGCAAGGTAGATGAGCAGCTCTCTGCCCAGCACCTCATTCCCGTGCATGTTGCCGATGTACTTCACCTCAGGTTCCACTAGGGGGCAGAAATGATGCAGCTGTCAAGGTGAGCGATCAGTCAGGGACTACAGTTGCCTGTGAAGAGATGAGACTGAGACAACGTGTCTTAGAATGACAAGGAGACAACTTGCTTAGAAATGAATGGAAAGAAGAATGTGTTCAGAAATCGTGAATCTATAAGCAGTCGCTTACCATAAAATGGCTTGTACTACAAAGCTGTGGGAATCAAGCATTACTCACATAGGTCGTGGCCGCCTGGGTTTTCTGAAAATTCGATGACCAGAAGGTCCTTTCCCTCGAGGCTTCTTCCGATGCTGTAGGTCCTGGAGATGTGGGAGCACCGTGAGGCCGTCTTCTTCAGCATGTTCACCATCTGGGTGTTGGAGTGGTAGATGAACTGGATGATTGTCGACGGCTCCTCCGGGGCGATATCGGCCAGGGCTACCTCTTGCCTGGCTGGAGGTGACGCCGTAACACGTCAGGAGACAAAAAACATCCGTAACTGTCTTGCAGAGCTCCAGTTTGGACTCTTATAGGCGACCCATCAGAATGACCAGGATCGAAGCTTATTAAATTTGTTCATTTATCCAACATTTATCCAAGATTTTTGCAACTTTGCAAAACTTGCTCAATGCATTTTTTGTTTTGTTTTGAGATGAGAAAACCAATGACCTAAAGTCAGGCTTCCTCATCATATGTCACGGTACTAAGAACCAAAACTCACTCATCCTCATGTGATCCATTCCAAATTAAATTTATAAAAACTCACTAAGTCTACAGGAATGGTATCTACTTACGAGTTTTGGAAATTTGCTCTTCAGTTCCTCCCCAAACAGTCATGTTGTGCCTAGCAACCTTGTCAGGGACTGAAGTCGTTTTTTGAGATAAACAGCTCAAGTCACGAGGAGAGAGGTACAAGGGATAGGAATCCACATTTAGTGTCTGCACCTCCACATTCCAGGGAACTGCTCTCTCATTAATGTGACAGAGATATATGAGAGCATATGAGAAATAAACCAGAAGCAGCTGAGAACAGACCTCATTAGACCAAAACGTGAGTCACCATGAAACTACTTCAAAGACGGAAATAATTAAAGAGCTGAGGGGCAACACCAAACATCTGCTCGCTTTTTCCCGCCGTTGCTTTGGGGCCGACTTTGTAATCCTGTTAAAAGCCATCAAACCTGGGCAGCGAGCTTATTGGTCATTAATGAGCACAGTTCCGCAAATGGCGGAAATGACATTATGGCTTAAACAAATTTCTCATTTCTGAGAGCGGTGTTTCAGTTGGCCCATGAGCTGCAGCACAGCTGTGATAATAAATAACAGGGCCCAGGAGACAAGCAGATCCTGGTCCACACAAATAACGCCTATTTAGAATTAAAATGTCCGTGGATGAGGCCCATCTGTGGGTGCTCGGTCTACTTCTAAAAATCGAGAAATATTTTCTCCACATGGATGGCGTATGCAATTTAACTCCTGTTACACTGAACAAATGGAGAAGTCCGATACAATCGACGTGATGTGCCAATTGTAAGATTTCTACTTTTCACATAATACCCAAAAATATTTACATTTTACTAGCATTTATATGACCCATGTGGAATGTTCATTGGATCATAGTATATCCAATAGTTTGTGTTTGTTAGAAGTCTATTAATGATACCTTAGTCAGTCGACATGTAGCTCCAGAGAGAGAACCCTCAAGCATCATCTAACCCTTGGATGATTCCCATGTGTCTCTTCCACACATCGGGCCCCGTACCTCTCAGACCTTCTAGGGGGTCGTAGCACCCTTCCTCATCACTGACGAAAAAGCGGTCGCAGTCCAGGAAATAGGGCCAGGCCATCTGGATGCCTTCGAAGGCGTGGATGCAAGACTTGCGCACTTGCTCGCAGGTGGAGCGGCAGGGCTTGACAGCTCGGTCGCGGTCACAGCGTGGTACCACCACCGAACACGACAGCAAGCGCAGGTCTGGGTTACACTCCCCGCCCAGCAGCGAGTTATACACGCTGAGCAGCAGGTACTCTATGCTCGTCTCCACCTCCTGCCGTGAGCGCTGGTCCAGCAGGTTGGGGAAGATGGACTGGGAGTAGGGCATGTCGTCGCAGTATCCCAGCACCATATCCGCGCACCTGGCTTTTTGGGCAAGTGGGCAGACAGAGAGCCAGTTTCAGGTAGTGGGGAAATACACCCTAGACAAGCTGCCGATACAACAGCATCCAAGCAAAGCCAGCTTCAGATAGAGAGGGTAACCAGAATCAGGTTCAGAGAGAGGGGAAGGCATCAGATCCAGGTTCAGATAGAAAGGGTAACCACAGCCAGCTTCAGATAGAGGGGCATCCAACTGCAGCCAGCTTCAAATAGAGAGGGCAACCACAGCCAGCTTCAGATAGACTGTCAGAAAAAAGCATACAGCCCTGGTACAGTTTTGTTCCCCAAGGTACAAACAATATAAATGTACCCCCAATGGTACAAAAATGTTCCTCAGAGTCCATTCCTGTACCTTAAATGAGACTAAAATGTACATTTACCTACAGCATGGGGACAATTTGCAGACCCTTGAGGGTACAGCCCCATTGACAAGTAACTGACCCCTCAAAGGTACAAATTGGTACTTTTTCATGAGAGTATATAGAAGCATGCAACCAGAACCATCTCCAGGCAGAGAGGGCAACCAGAGTCAGTTTCCAGTAGAGGAGCATGCAAAACAGAGTCAGCTTCAGGTAGAGGGACATTCAACCAGAGCCAGGTTCATGCCCAGGGGAACACACCCAGAGCCAGCTGCAGATATAGCAACGTCCAACCAGAGCCAGCTGCAGATATAGCAACGTCCAACCAGAGCCAGCTGCAGATATAGCAACGTCCAACCAGAGCCAGCTGCAGATAAAGCAACGTCCAACCAGAGTCAGCTTGAGACTCAGGATATGCTACCTGACATTTTAACTACGAGCATCAGGCCATTCTGTTATTGTTCGTGTGATAAATCCTACTTAATCTTACATAAATTATAATGCTGTAGACTGCTACAGGTCTGCAATCCAGCCCTCCGTAAGCAGAACAAAATAATAAATTGTGCTTGGCAAAATGTAACTCATTTCAAATTCATAGAAATTCTTTGGAAAATTGATATTTAAGCAAACCCATTGCAATTATCCAAAGCATAACTTAAAGAGAGAAAATATATGCTACACTGGCATGCCCCCCCCCCCAACCTGTCAGAATCTAGTGGTTCTAGGCCAGTGCTACAAGCCCAAGACATAACTGGGACACTCTCTTGGGCTGGAAAGGAGAGGAAGATATTTACAACTCAAAGACACCCTGTCCTCTTAAGAATTTCCCCCCTTAACAGCGACATCTGCTGAGACAGATCCTGACGCCTTTTTACACAGGGTATGGCTGGGCTCAGAGGACGATGGCGCAACCGGATCATCAGTCGGACTTTTAACTGAAAGGCTTAGTGGATGATTTTCACCCAACCCACTGTCCAGTGAAGCCTTTCTGGTTGTTAATGATGAACTGATGCCTGTCTGGAAATTAGCATTTCATATTCACAGAGGTAAGGGTAAAAAATTGTGCCTTTGCTTGTTGAGGTACATTTCTGTACCATTGATGGTACATTAATTCTGTTTGTACCTTTGAGATGTTCCTCAGAGTCCCTTTCTGTACCTTTTTACAAGGGTACAGCCCAGTGACAAGCAATTGTACAAATTTTTGCCCTTTTTTTTCTGAGAGTGCAGCAGCAGACATTTGCATGCCTGATGAGTAATAGGTAGAAAGTTAAATTAAGTAGTATGTTTAAACTTATAATTCAGAATCTAATTAGATACAAAGCGTATGGAATGTGACAATCACAGTTCAAACAACTGAAAGTGCCATACGGTTCAGTTTGGGGAAAGACAGGAGAAAGAGCACCTACGTTTTTCTTCGGCTGATTCCCTGCATCTCCCTGCAAGACACATCATACATGTTACTACATTATTACCGTAACTGAGTAAACACTACATTCAACACTAGATGGCAGCAGTGCGATTACGTTCCTGCTGCTTCATATACAAACACGTGAGTAGTAAGTTCTTTTTTGAATGATCAAAGCAATATACTCTGCTACAGGGAAAAAGAAACAAAGAAAAAAAAACATTGGAAACATTTCTAACGCTCGTTTAGACCTTATGTTTGTAAAATGTATAAAATTCATTAAATACAATGTTGTTCTTTGGTAGCTCATTTTCCCACTGCCGACCACTTTCGTTATACATATCTTCCCCTCACGTTTCTTTAGATTAGTAAATACACTCTCTCCCCCTTCCTTTCCCACTCCCCAATTTAAAATATTGCGGTCTTCTGTGAATGGCTTTGCATCAGCGCACGAAAATTGTTTCAATATGCAACTAAACGTGTCCTTTCTTTCACAGGAAACAATCCTTGCCCCCCAAAGGCTTAATTATTTTCGTTAATGTTATATTCGTGTCAAACTCTGTTGTTATTACAAAATTCAGCAGAACTGCATTTCCTCCCTGCATATAAATGTAACGTCAACCTAATATAGCCTGCAGTTAACTAATCAAAAAGTTGTTAAACTTATAAACGTTTATTTATGCTACAATGAAAAAGTGAATACAACTGAATGTAACATTGTAAATGTTCACTATATCATAAGAACTGCAACGAGAATAACATATATGTGAACATGCGTCAATGCAATTCTGTCGTACGTCATGGAAGATTAAATCACGACAATATGTCCTTTAGCTTTGTCTTACCAAAACACTGTAAACATTTGTTGCAATCAGTTCTGGTATTTCGCTCATGAAGTACAACTGCATCCAGAAGACTGTAGTATCCGGCTTAGAATAAATCATACATTACCTAAAATTTCGTCTCCCGGTTCGCACCGCGGAGGAGCGGACCAGACGGATATAGCGAATATATTAAACGTGAAGATAATAGAGTTCATTTTGATCCATTTGTATTCCATTTGGATTGTGATGTGGCACGTCTGCGCTCCCCCTCACTTTAATTACAAAGGGGGCGCTCCGCTCGCTCTGTTCCCCCAGAAAAGTTAGTTTCTTATGCGTTTTACGGTCGCCGATCAAATTACAAAAGAAATTGCTGTACAGAAGAAAAGCGGGGCGACAGCGTATTGGCTTATTGCCTATATATGTATGCATTTTAAAGCCGTATATTAATTAAGTATTATTCTAATAGTAGACTACTTGCAAAGCTGTTGGTAAGAAAAATAGACTATATTCTTTTTATTTGATGTACGTTCGCATTTTGCTTGCTTTCCATACTTTATAGGAAAGCATATTATGCGGTTCCTAAACACTTAAGTTTTGCTTTCACGCAAAATATGTGGTTGCGGAGATTTAGTCCATTTCGGAGTCCCCCATTTGTTTCCGTGGGATATACAAACAGTTAATCCAGGCAAGTTATAAGCATACTTGTTTTTCGGAGTTTGTCACATTTCTGGTCATGATGCACCTTACTTTAGAATAAATGACCTTTGTTTTTCAAACTAGTAGCCTATAATTAGCATATTCTTTTCCCGTTTATGTAAACTGTTTACTTGACATATACGGGAAATGCATATGCTAATTACACTAAAATGTTAAACATCTAGGAAATTGCTTAGACGTTGAGTGATGCGTGCGCTGTTTAGCGTTTTCTGAAGTGCAGGGTCCGTTTAAAAAGCACAGAAAGTTCTCCGTAGTAAGTCATGCCACTCTCTCGTAACAACCTAATAACCTTCCAACAATGAGGAAACGTGGCTCGTGTGTTGTACTGTCTAACAAGTAATAACCACTGACTTCTCAAGTGTCCTCTGCTAGGGGCGCTTCCTTAGAGACAATAAAGTAAACAAAAATATGTTCAAACAATAATTCCAGAACAAACAATAACAACAAAATAGTGGCTAAAGAATTAAACAGGGTTCACCAAACATCTCTGCCAACTTTATTGCACTAATTTCACAAATGGTTCCACTCACACAACAGAAAACAGCAGGTACCTTGGAGCAAAATTAACATTCACTGTTTACTTCTGAACCATCTGGTCCTACGTTTTACTGGGTACGTATAGAAATTAAGCGAATGTTTTGGGCATGAAAACACTGACTGTCCGACAGTTATTTATAAACATAATCTGGCACAAGCACAATATAATTTAAAGCACATAAACAGTATAACTTTCTCCACACAGAGGTTTATTTCTCCCTAATAAAATAATAATTTCAACAAATACGTGATTTTAATGCAGCAAAATAAATTGCCTGGAAGTTTAGTATAAATATTTTATAAACCATTTCTGCAAAATAAAAGAGAAGTACAAATGTGTTTGAGATCTGGCAGTACATTCAGTTTAACACGTAAGCATTATAGTTGTAATAAAAAAAATGGATTTTGCCTTTGGCCTTTTTTTGGAACTATTAGCTCTGAAATAATGACAAAGTGCTTTAAGAGCCAGTGAGTGACATACCAGAGTGAACGGCGGTGGAGTCTGCAGAGTCCACAATGGGGAGGGGGGGGAGGAGGGTAAGCTAATCGTTGTAGACATGGGGTTTCCTGCAACACACTCCCGGTGGAACTTAATGCATCTCTCCATTCCCGCCCCTGGCACCAGACTCTTGAAGTGTGCCGAAAAGCCTCGCGGCTCTGCCAGCTGTTAGCTATGGTGCCACCTAGTGGTGGGCTTCCGTTCAACTCAAGCCAGACCACCACTGACACAGATTCAGTTGAAGAGGAAAATGGGCATCTCCATGTCAATGCTCAGTGCCAGACTAACAGCACTGTTGTGTTTGAATGGAGTACCAAGGCTATTAGGTATATATAAGGTCCTCAAGTTTCTGTATCCATCAAGCTGACGGCCAATTACTCGAATGAATCCACTAGCTGATCCAGTTTGGTCCCTGCGTTTGGCACGGTCCATGGGTCCCAGAGCTGTGCTGGCTTTCTCTGACTGTCGGCATGGTCCCAGGAGGACAGACGCCCCCCCTCCCCTAGCAGCTGCACTTATGTCTGCTTACAGCATGGCTCTGGGCCACACAAGTGAGCTTAGCTGATCCTCTGAAGACAGGAGTCATTCTCTGTATCCAGGGAGCTGTTGTGTCCAGAAGAAGGGTAGAGGTCCCTCTTCAGCACGCGGTTGACGATGTGGATCAGGACCTTCTTGTACTGCTGCCGCAGTAAAGAGTACGCAAAGGGGTCCGAGGCAGCTTTGCTGTATGTCAGACACTTACTCACGATGCCCCAGTGCCTGTTTATGCCTACAGAGGGTAACAGCTCTGCCAACCTGAGGGCAAGTGAAGAGAAGGTAATCAACAGTGATAGCAATAGTTTGTAGTAATGGGCATATGAAACTTCATAAACCATTAGCTATATTTTCTGAGTTCTCTAGATGGTGCTCATTATTCATAAAAGGGCTCAAAGCAAAGCAAGAGCACCATCTAGTGGGGTCAGAAAATACAGCAAATGGTTCATGAAGCTTCATTTGCCCATTACTAATGGATTGGACACAGAATTCAGTACTCAACACGCATTTATCCTGGTGTTACCCTTGTGAGCATCAACATTCATATTTAACACTGCTAGTTCACATATTTTTACTTGACATTTAAAAAGCATCACAAGAATGATCTGTGCTCTACCTCTGCCTCGTGAAGGCGTTTGATACGAGTGATGGTATAGAGTAGACCTAAGGGGGTTGACTCTCACCTGATGAAAAACTTTACTCATACACAAGAATCGTATTGAACCAGTGTTGTCACTGATACTAATAAATATTCATTATTAATTTTCATGTTAAAGATATTTTATCACCAGCCTTTCAGGTTTCAGAGTGAGTTTTTTCCAATCTCTGTGCCTTTCGTTATTTCGATTATGTAACCGTATTAGCAGGTATATGTGAGAGATTGAATATCTTAAAGCACACTTACCTGGTTACAACATAAGGGGCGAAGCAGATGATAAATGAACCAATAAAAATGCTGATCTTCTTTGTTGCGCGCTGTTTTCTCTTCTTCTGCTCCACAAGACAACGTTGTTTGACACTGGAGAGGTTAGGGCACACACATACCCCATTGTAAAGAACAGGTTGCATGATGAATAAATAAATATACAAACAGTTCTGTCAAATCTAAAGCGATGACTAATCGTTAATGCTGTTGGTAATATAATCGCAAATATTACGGTCAGTGTTTTATATCTCACACAGGGGTTTACCATACCGACCTTAGTTACAGTCCTTTAATATCTGTTTTATGGTAGATTAGTTTAAACTACCACCGTGCGCTGGATATTTGATTCGCGCCAAAATAAGCAAATCAGCATAAATACCTTGGGTGAATATCTACCAGCAAGAAGAGGGTCTGCATTGTTATCACGTCAATCCTTTTGCAGTGAAATCGTGCCACTTTTAAGACCTTTAGGTATGTGAAGCACAGGGTTAGGAGGGAGAGCATGAAGCTGGTGGCATGGAACACGACGGTGAAGACTGTAAACTTTATCCGCTCGCTTTCTGCATTGAGGTGCAAGGTGCAGGAGGCATATACCTGGTGATAATCAAACCAAGAAAAAATCACTGGGATGAGGGAAAAGGTGAGCGAGTGAAGCCACGAGTAACAGACCATGACTATTGCGTCCTTGTATCGCATTTTACTGGAGTAACTCAGTGGGAAAACCACGGCTATCCACCTGTCTATGCTTAGCGCTGCCATGCTCAGCATGGTGTTCGCAGTCAAAAAAGTCTCCAGAAAGCTGACTGCCTGACAAATACAGTCTCCAAAGGGCTTTTGGTTTCTGATAATCCCCAGTAACGTCGCTGGCATGTTCAAAATCGTGATCAGTATGTTGCAGAAAGACAAATTCATTGTGAAAATGCCCGGCACCTGCCTTCTTATCTCGGTGCTGTACATAAAACATAGCAGCACCAGTAAGTTCGACAACAAAGAAACAATCGCGACCACAAAGATGAACAACACTAAGAGGATTTCTGCCAAGTCCATTTCTCAAGCCAGGATGTCACCAACGTATTATCTGCAGTTGTCGAAATATCTCCATGATCTCCAGCGTGACCCTCGGTCGCTCATCCTCAACACATCTCATTCCTTGCGGGGAAATTTAACTCCTCCAACTCTCGCCTGCGAAGCCGGAGCTGTCCAGCGTGCTGAATCCAAAAGTTGATCGCCTCCGCGGCCACCCGACCATTTCCCCTTCACACTCGGCGCAGCCTCTTCCACATTCGCTCCCTATAATTCGCCGAAATCGCTTTCATTTTTCGAGGAACTTTTGGTCGTTAGAAATTATGATGATGCACAATATTTTCGTGTCCGCTGCTGCTGTGATTCCTTCTATGTGAAAATCCGAGGTAGAGAACAGATCATGCGCATAAAACACTGCCCGTCTGATAAGCGACTTGGGGGGGGTTGTCCTTCACCTGATGAGAAACTTTAGCCATGCAGAGCCTGAATAAGTGCAATCATTATTATACACTCGCAGTCTTGTTATTTATGAGTATTAATTATTATTATAAAAATATTATTATTATTATTATTATTATTATTATTATTATTATTATACTAGCTATCAAGGGTGTAATTAGAGGATGTAATGAAGAATTTACAGAGTAGACTTATCTTGGCATGTCTGCACATCAAGCTGATTTCATTTATACGGGCGGATCGCTGGGTTTAATGAAGAAAAAATGATTTAAAAATATCTTTATGCCACAACACATTCATACTTTGCAAATAACATCGTCTATCGTTTCATTTTACAACAAAGTAATACAGTAGTTCAAATATTTTTTCAATTATTATTTCAAATGTTTTTTTTTGCTCAAAATTTATCTGTTTTGAGCACGTCTCTGTATTTTTGATGAACCCATTCTCCCCTGCAGTCTGTTTAACTCATGTACAGTAACTGCAGCCATCTGCTTAAGTGACAACGGTGTCCCTGGCGGAACCATAAATCCATTAAACATAGATGTCTTAAATAAACCGTGTAAACAAAGAGAACAAGAACGGCACAGAAAGAGGAAACGGATAAATTTACGGATTCTGAGAACTGAAAAACAAGCATTAAAATACTTATCGGTAATACTTCAGACCTCCAGTCTTGTTTATTTATTTGCTTATTTATTTATTTATTTATTTATTTATTTCCTGCTCTTTTCAGTTATAAACCATCACGCCCAAATGTTTCACGATGTTCTTGTCAATTCACGTTAGGCCTACATTAAAATATGATTTACCTAATTGCCTTACTCCGATGGTCCACAGGGACACGCTTGATAATTACAAATGCATTCGATTCTCTCGTTGCCCTGACACTGGGAGTTAGGCAGATAGGTTCATTTCCCGAAATTAATTATTCATTACAGACCCAGAATAACCGGGAATAAAGACGACTACATGTTTCAGCACGGTATTCAAATGGATGTGGAGAACGGCAATATTCTGGTGACTAAAAGCATCGGACACAGGAAATTAAATTAAATGGAACAACATTTTTAGCCAAGTCATGCCAGCCCGTTGAATACAGTATAATGACATAAATATTATATGACTAGTAAACAGAAATTTTAGTGAGGGTCTGTATCGAAAAACATTAGGGTTCTTGGAGCAACAAGTGACAGTGATTAAAAACCTGGACACATGAACAGTTATTACAAATGTTACAGAGAAGTTGCGGTGGTCAGTATTTTTTATTTGTTTGGTGACAAATCTTAAACACTACCTGATAAATAGGTATACTACTGAGAATACTTCCTAGGGTAACTAATTACTACTAACAGATAAACACTGCTCTTAGTTTCCTTATTCATTGTTTTAAAAGAACCATCTTGAATAAATAGCAGATTAACAACCCGCTGGTTCAGGTAAGACCATGCAGGTATGTTTCGATTCCCGCGATAAGTCACTTCTGTTCCACGGATGGGACTCTGCTTTGCATGTCTGTTGCATTTTGTCTTTTATATCCTATCCTGCTGGGCCCAGTTCTCTGGCTGGATAAAAGCGAGTATCTTTGTCAGATATTAGCAACCAAGGAAGCCGGTCCTCTGGTGCCATCCATCCGTCGCCTGCCTGCATAAATCAGGCAGTCTTACATGGACTGTCTAACGTATCTTACATATTTTATTAAACAGAAGAGGTTGGGGTGGGGGCGGGGGTGCTCTCAGACTGACAAATTTTGTGACAGTCCTGTTCTATATTTAAAGCATTAAACAGCCTAACGTGAATCTGAACCTAGCTTGTGCCTTGACGGATGTCAACAGTAACATTTTTAAGGACCTGCTAAATCGAGGCACTTGAAACACGGCCATTGTGTTGGTCAGCATATTCCTGCATTGTGTACTTTGTTGAATGCAAAAAAGTGATGAGTAGATTAGCATTTACCAAAGAACACTTAAATACGTTCTAAAGCAGACCTGTGGCTGTCTCTTAGCATGTCCAGCTTTGCTGGCTGTTTTCCTGCATTTACAGTGATTCGAGTTCAGATCAGCTCAATAGGAAGTTTTCTCTGTTGATTTTGCTTTGTTGTCATCACATCAGCTACTGAAACATTCTGATCAAGATGAATCAATATGTTAATTCCCTCAGCATTGCCCTGTGAGGTTTGGTAACCGCCTCATTGTCCTACAAAATCTCCAGTAATTCCTTCAACAAGTTTTAGACATCCAGTTTTTTTTCTCTGCAAGGTCAGATCAAAGGCTGCTATGGTTACGGCTTCATCCAAAACTCGCCTTACTGGAAAATGCTTCAGCGCGTCACTTGAAAGCCTTCCTGGTGAGACTAGAGGGCACGTCTCTTATTTACATGGAGGGAAACATATCTGATTTATTGTCGTCTGCCGGGTCAGGCCGTGTTTGTACGCAGCAGCGCGTAACTGTGTATTTACACACTGGAGACGGCAAGGTCTGTTGATTGGCCCAGAATGTGCTGGCGTTAGGTAAGACTTCACAGTCCTCGCCGTTCCGTAATGAACATGGTAATGAGGCGACTCGGGCCGCACCTAAGTTTAGGCTTCCCCAGGGTCTGGTGACTCACTGTCTCGGAGAAGATGTCAGCTCTCGGAAGTGACTGCTCATCACAACACCCAGAGACGTCACTGTCTGTTCTGTGTATCCCTGTTTCATTTCATTATCATGATCAGTTATATTAATATGATATGATAAACATTTTATATATATGTATACATATAAAACACACCTGTGGAAAAAATTGAGACCACAGAGACACAATTTTTCGTTTGACATGCTAATATAACGGCCATATTCAAAAAACGGGATAGAAGTAATCCAGCAAACTATAGGCCAATTACTTTAACTTGCATAACTGGAAAAGTAATGGAAGCTATAATCCAAGTGAAAATGGTAGATTACCTGGATTCAAATAGCATTCTGAGGGATAGCCGGCATGGATTTAGGAGAGGTAGGTCCAGTTTAATTTGCTTGAGTTCTTTGAAGAAGCTACAAGAGAAATTGATTACAAAAAGGCCTATGGTGTGATCTACTTAGATTTTCAGAAGGCCTTTGATGTTGTCCCCCACAAATGGCTCTTGCTTAAGCTCAAAGCTGCAGGGATTTTAGGAACTGTAGCAGCTTGGATCGAAAACTGGTTAACAGACAGAAAGCAGCGAGTAGTTATTAGAGGCACAATGTCACAGTGGGCCTGCGTTCATAGTGGGGTACTGCAGGGCTCAATTTTAGGACCATTATTGTTCCTAATTTACATTAATGATATTGACACCAATATATACAGTAAACTGGTTAAATTTGCAGATAACACCAAGGTGGATGGTGTAGCAGATACTGAACTAGCGGCTCAGCAGCTACAGTGGGATCTTAATTTAATTAGTGACTGGGCTGATACCTGGCAGATGGAATTTAACATAGATAAATGTAAGGTAATCCATGCAGGGAGCAGAAATATAAAGTACAGATATTTTATGGGTTCCACTGAAGGTAGCTGATTATGAGAAAGACCTCGGTATGTATATTGATGCTTCCATGTCCCACTCTCGCCAGTGTGGGGAAACAATAAAAACGACCAATAGGATGTTGGGTTACATCTCTAGGTGTGTGGAGTTTAAGTCAAGGGAGGTGATGCTACGATTATATAATTCCTTGGTAAGACCCCACCTAGAATATTGTGTGCAGGTTTGGTCACCATACCTTAAAAAGGACATTGCTGCCTTGGAAAGGGTAAAACGTAGGGCTACGAGAATGATTCCTGGTCTTAGAGGAGAATGATTCCTGGTCTTAGAGGAATGTCCTATGAGGAGAGGTTAGCTGAGCTGAATCTGTTTAGCCTCAAGCAAAGGAGACTAAGGGGGGACATGATCCAGGTATATATGATTCTAACAGGTCTGGATGCTGTTCAGCCAAATGGCTGTTTCAATATTAGTTTAAATACTAGAACTCATGGCCATACTGTAAGTGGAAATTAGCAGGAGAACATTTTAAAATGAATTTGAGGAAGCACTTCTTTACACAGCGTGTGGCTAGAGTATAGAATAGTCTTCCTGTTCAAGTACTGCAGGCTAAAACCCTGTGTTCCTTTAAATCAGAGCTAGATAAGATTTTAACAACTCTGAGCTATTAGTTAAGTTCTCCCCAAACAAGCTTGATGGGTCGCATGGCCTCCCGTTTGTAAATTTTCTATGTTCTTATGTTAATTTCTCAATTTCTGGTTGTTTGTCTGTGAATAATATATATTTTTCTGCAAACTGCAGCCTGGTTCTTCTCTGTTTCTCATTGAAGGGCTCCTTCCTTGTTTCATCGGAATTCAGTCCTGCTTCTAGGAGCCCGATATGAACTGTTCTAGCAGTGCACTTCACACCTGCCCTAAATGTTTCCCGTTCCCTTTGAAGGTGACTTGATGCCATCCTACGATTCATGAGAAACTGTCAGATAAGTTAATGGTCATCTCTGGCTGGTCATTCCCACTGTCTCCTGCTTCACCTTATTCTCGTGTATACTGCTGTCTTAGAAATTTTGAACCTTGAAGCATCCTGATACTCAGCGTAGCCCTCAGCCAGCAGAACCATGATTAAACCAGGATGTAAAAATGCAGATTTGTTTAAAAATATAGAGTGGTCTCTTAATTTTTTCCGCGGCTGTATATATATTGCTGCTATATAAAGAGGTAACATGGAAAAATGGATCAATACCAGAATATTAAAAATATCATAATTTTCTCTAATACATTTAAATATAGATTCAAGTATCAGTATACTATTACCACTATTAGTGGGCACTGCATTAGGTACGTCTGCTTATTGATGCAAACAGCTTGCTCCCCCAAAGAGTGAATCCCAGCTTGCCAACTTTGGTCAGACAAGACTTTTATTATCTTGTAAATAGTCTGTAGGATTTGCAAATTACCCCAATGCTTTTG